CGAGTCTTTAACACAAAATTTCATTCACCCGCGACTAAATATCCTTGTGTTTTTTGTGTTTTTAGCTCATCTGACGTAGTCAGATGCAGCTTGTAGAATCGCATGATTGTCCGTGCGTCCGGCCGTTCGTCCATCCGTGCGTCAACAGTTGGGCACAAATCTTAACCGCTCGACGTACGGTCACGATATTCGGGATGTCGGGGGGGGGATGATTGTGAAAAGGACTCAGGATGACAAATTTGGGGGTCAAGGGTCAAAGGTCAAGATGTGTAAACTGAGGGGGAATATTTCCCTCTTAACTTAAGGTATAGGAGGCAATACGGAATTGCGGCACAAATCTTAACGGCTCGACCTATGCTCTTAATATTCGGTGTATAGTGTATTAGGGCATTGGGGGAAAGGTCAGATATCAGACATTTTCTGAGGACATGGCCTAATGGACAGAGTCAAAAACGTTTTTGTTTCAGCGCTGACCTACCATTTTTATCACTTTATTGAAAGGACCATGAAATGTGCTTTCCACTGACGTGCGAGGAGTAAGTGTCTGATAACCTTTTGACCCTAAAGAGGAGGGTTAAACATGGATTCCTGAACTGCCTCAATGACGTCACAGTGTTGTCATATTCATGGCACATCCATAATCTAGAAACCCAATAAGCCTGGATAGCCAGCCGAACACCTACAGCACAGGCGTCACGGCTCAAAGTTCGTTGGATCGAATCCCATCTGATTTTGTAATATTTACCTGTTTTCTGTATTTTTCTATCTTTATGCATTTAACTATTCTTTACGCAAATATTTACATGATTTATTTACAACAATTTAATAACAACAAATAATTTTTACAACAATTAATTATTTTGTTTTTTTTAATAGGGTTAGGGTTAGGGTTAGGGTCACAATGCACCATAAAACAGGAGTTTCAGGCACGCGATTTGTATCAACCAATGGGATTTGGACGTAGCCAAATGTTGACGGACGGACGGACGGACGTACGGACGTACGACGGACGACGACCCATGGCAATAGCTCAGCTTGACGATGTCAAGGTGAGCTAAAAACAGATGGAGAAGTTGGTATAAATGATGGACAGAATAAAAGCAGAAACCCTAACCATATGCTATTTACTAGTCTATTAATGTTTGCGTTTGTATATATAAATGGTCTTTTTTGTATCTATAACCATTTCCTTTGATTATGAACTATACATGCACAAATCATGGTGTCACCACTTGCAATACCATTAATCTTGTTACTAATGAAGCAAAGTTATACTGCAAGCCAAAAATTCTAGAAAAATTTCAGAGTGAGGTAAAAAAAAACGCAAAACAACTTTTTATTAAATGGGTAAACAACATGCTAAAAAATCCATAATAATACAATAACCAACCAGTGGCTCCCAAAACAAGGAAAGATTTGAATCTGATACAAGTGTTACTCACTGAAACGATACTGTCCAAATCACTATGCTCAATCCTGAAGATTTTTGATGCGGTGTCTGATCCTATACAGTTTTTCAGTGTGATTGGCTTCTTCATCTGGATATAAAAAATAATAAAAAATTACATTATGTTATATTACATTTCACCCCATTCCATTCCATTTCATGTTATTTTCACACACCCAACATATTTATTAATGATAATCATATTAATGATTGCAACTGTTATTGTTCACTATATTGGGAAGACCATGTTCCACAAATGGTTGAGCCTTTTTCCGTAGTGCAACTGCTCAAACTTTAACTTGCATTACACATCAAATGATTTTTTACATTTTATAATGTAAATAGTACACTAAAGCAGTTCTTTAACCTAACATAAACACAACTATCAATAGAGGTATATTTCACGTTTACTAGCTGCTGTGCAAACTACCACATACTTTAGAAGCATTCTCCACCTTAACACGTTTCACTGCTTGATCACCTATAGGTATGTTATGGAAGTCAACCTCAATGACCCCATCGTTGTTCTGCATTGCAGTCTTTCTTTGCTCTAGACTAGATACCACATGGTGAGAAAATTTACCTGTACTCAAGTAATGAATACATTATATATTATTACCTCGAATTTGATTGCATTGAACTATCTCAGAACATAGATTAATAGATCTTATAGTTAACACTATATACCTTTTATATATATTTAGGTTATCACTATTAATCTAATATAATCTTGAACATGTGATTGTATAGCACACATAATATATCCTTTCTAACTTGTGGAGAGTAATATTTGCCACACCATTGACAGTTACCTGTATTGCTTGAAACTATTCCAGTAACATAGCACAAATGAAGTTGAACCATATATAATGCTACACCACACACACGTTATAACAATGTCTGTAAAGTAATTTAAATTCTTCCAACAACATCCACTTCAAATGCGTTATGCAACACTGCTGCTGCCTCGGTATTGGTATAAACACTTAAATCTTAGCCGCACTATGCGCATTTACACGCTAATTTCTCCAGTACTAGACTAGCAAATACTTCGTGTCATGCAGAATCATACTACCTTATGACAAAATAAACTCTAGTTCTTCCCATTTCACTGCGCGTTGTCTTATAAAGGGCATTTGAAAATACCTTCAATGTTGTTCAAATTCTCCGATGTCGTTGACAGTTTCGCGTTGCTCTCCCAAGCAACCGTGCAGCGGTGCTGCGGTACAGCGGTACCGGTGTAGCCAAGAGCTGAGAACAATATATACAATGTATATATTGTTCTCAGGCCAAAAGTAGATAGTGACTATATTAAAACTTATAGTGCAGCAGATATGTGTATAATATCAGAAGGATAATATATAATATATGATATATATATGATATATATGGATTATATATATGATATAATATCCATCATCACTTGCAGCGGATGTACTTGGCATGAGTCGAGCCAAACGACTGGCTGAACATTTTACACGGCAAGATGTGTGCCATTTTGCGTCATTCCTACGGAGTGTGTTGGCGATACCATCACCATCGTCTAGGCGAGTTACATCTACTGGTATTGGTTGTTTTCCTATTTCACGAAAACTACTCAGGTTATTTCCCAAAGTGTCATAAGAAGATCCAATGTCTGTGCGTAATGATTTAGCTGGACAATTTAGAGGACTATCAGTAGGCCTATGTTCCTGGCACAAAGCACAGAGATTCCAATCAATTGGTTGTGGCGATGGTGTAAAGGATCTTAGGCTTTCACCTTGAATTAGTTTGCACTTCTTCTTAGATGACATAATTGGTCACACCTGTGTTCATTCACCTGTAAACGTAACGTACAGGAATGAGTTCAATCAGTTGAAATGGGCAGCCATCTTGGATTTAATTATACAATTGACCATTTCATTAGTTTTGGTGCCTTTTATCAACTCGTTTGTGGTTGGAATGGATTCAGCATGTATGAAAACATAGAAAATGACACTTTATTTATGTTTACACGACATTTTGTCACAAAAATATGGCATTTTATTGGTGGCCATCTTGAATTATTGTTGCTTAGCAATATCCTACATAATTTTTGATACTTCCATTGTTCACTCTTGACACCCTAATACTAAATAAAGGACGGAACGAGATGTATCAAGACTTAATACAGCAACAGTAGCATAGCCAGAAAAACATTGATAGCTATAATCACAGAAATCAAAATCAATTCTTTCTCTCTTGCTCTCTCTTAAAAGCACCAAATTTGGTACAGACATTGCTTAATATATATTTAACAAATTTGGATATTATGCCAAGCTCAATTTTTTCCCTGGGGCCCACAAATAGCAAAATCCAAGATGGCCGCCGTCCGATACCGGAATATCTTAAAAATGACATATCTTTGTGACAAAATGTCGTGCAAACATGAATAAAGTGTCATTTTCTATGTTTTCATACATTCTGAATCCATTCCAACCACAAACGAGTTGATAAAATGCACCTATTTGCGTAAATCCAAGATGGCCGCCGTGCCTAATCGGCCAAATGGGAAATCAGCAATAACTTTTGATAGAATCAAGCTGGGGCGATGATTTTGGTGTCTACACATAGGTTTTCACATGTGAGAAACACAATAGTCAGCTATACCTTAATTATTATGACGTTAACAATGGTACCATTGTTGCGGAGCTAAGCGTTTTTTGGAACTATTTTATCAATGCGCTCTGGATTACAAGCTGTTTTTACCACAACTTACAACAGATGTTATTGGATCAAAGTATGAGCTCTTCTGTCAACAACTCTCAACTCTCATAATCTGGTAAGTTTCTACTAGTTGTAATTAAACATAAATAATAATAATTACAATGATGTTTTGGAGAGAAAGAGAGCGAGAATGGAAAGAGAGAGAGAGCCCACAAAATGCACAATTATTTCACGTATCTGCCGCACTATACTAGCTATCACCAAGTGCGACATGCAAGCAAACAGCGTGGCACGCTGACACATTCCACCAACGATCACACCCACTCTCCACCCAACGTTTACCAAATCAGGAACGGTCTAATAAAATCTTCCCCCAAGCCAAGATGTCGGAGAAACAGTTTTTCTTAATCCATCTACACCATCGACTGATTTCTTGAGTCCCTGCCTGCCATCACGTCTATTATTGCCGAATTATGGAGACAGACTACACATGATAGGCAAATGACACAAGTTCAATGACAATTCTTGCGCCTAAAAGCGGACG